CAAAAATAACTGATAAAAAAAACTGTGGGGTGATCAGGTGATTGAAACAGTACTTGCGTTTTGGCGTATTTATTTTGTCGGTACGGCGGTGGAAACAGTTGTTTCTAAAGGGTTCTTGGAAAGTATTCGAAATCTGGGAAAGGATAAGTATTACTGATAAGGGTGAACAAAAGAGGGGTTTTACGACATGCAGGTGGACGAAGAGAAAGTTTTGGGGTGATACTGGTTGGAAGTAATTAAATACAGATTGTATACAAATATACAAATGCTATATAATTTTGTGGGACTTGCCAGCCCCCACAAGACAAAAAGAAAAACGATAGAAAAAATAGCCACTGAATAAATCGCCAAAAAGGGCAACAAAAAATAAGGAAACGAAAACGACGAAAAAGACCAAAAAGTTCGAGAAAACCAAAGTGAGATAAAAAATGTCACTTAAATAATGAAAAAAACGACAAAGAAGTAAAAAAAACAATTGAAGGCAACAAAAAACGACAAAAATGGACAAAAAACGTGAGAGAAAAAAAGGCGAAAAAAATTGACTAACTAGGGACTAAATAAATAGAGTAAAAAAAAAGGCAACAAAAAATAGAGAAAATGCCACTAAAATCATAAAAGAAATGCTATTAAAAAAAAGGAAGTCAAAATAAAGCAACAAAGGAAAAGGCAACTAAAAAAATAAGTCGAAAAAAAGCCCAGAAAACAACGAGTAAATAAATCGATAAAAAGGGAAACTAAAAAGAAGGAGAAAGGTATTAAAAACGATAAAAAGACGAAAGAAATGCAACAAAAAAAGACCTAAAAAATGCAAAAAAGAAATGAATTATGCGACAAAAAACAACGATGAAGAGAGACAGAGAAATGTCGAAAAAAAGGCGACAAAAAAACGACAAAAATAATCGATGAGAAAACTAGCAAAAGAGTAAAAAAATTACAAAAAACACAACATAGAAAGCTCAGAGGAAAGGCCAAATAAAAGGTAACAAAAACCGACGAAACTAGGACAACAGAAAATAAGGGGGAAAAGTAGATAAAAAATACTTAAAACTGATAAAAAGACTGAAAAATGCGACATAAAAAGTGACGCCAAAACAAAACGGCAAAGAAAAACGAGAAAAAAGTGGCCAAAAACTCCACCCAAAAGACCCAAAAGAGAGAATAAAAAAGGCTTCAAAAAAGATGACAAAATATATAAAAATAAATGTATAATAAAGGCGACAAAAAACGATTTATCTAAAACGACAAACAAAAACAAAGAAATGCGACTAAAAAGGGACTAAAAAAATTACGAAAAAGCAACAAAATTTGTGACAAGAAGATACAGAGTCCATAAAAAAAGAGAGAAAAAAGCGACGAAAACATAATAAAAAGGGGAAAAACCGCGACAAAAAAAGAGGAGAAAGAGAGGATTAAAAAAGGCAACAAAAAAAAGGTAACAAAAGAAGGTGATACAAAGCCCAAAAAAGTGAAAAAAAGTGGCGACTAGTTAAAGCGACAAAAAATGCAATAAAAAATTATAAAATAATCCAAAAAACGTGTCAAAAAAGTGACCAAACGAAGTTACTAAAAAAATGGAGTTAAAAAAACGACAAAAAAAGGCCATTTAAAAAAACAAGAAAACAAGAAAAAAAACGCAACAAAGACAATGACAAAATAAGCTACAGAGAAAAGTGAAAAAAATAAAAATGACAGGTAAAAAAACGACAAAATAATTTTACACAAAGAAAGGGTAAAAAAATGTGAAAAAAGAGAAGAAAAAAAGGACAAAAAGCGTGACAGAAAAAAAAGCGAAAAATTGACGAAGGAGGGACTAAATAAAATAGTGACAAAAAATGGAGAAAATGCGATCAAAATACAAGAAATGCTACTAAAAAAAAGGAAGTCAAAACAAAACAACAAAAAAAGTCGAAAAAATCGGCAAAAAAAGGTGAAAAATTTGGTCAAAAATACGATTAAAAAATGTCAAAAAAAAGCAATAAAAGAATCCTACAAAAACGACGACAAAATATCTACAGAAAAAAGTCGAAAAAAAAAACGATAAAATAACGTCTAAATAAATCGAATTAAAAAAATAGGAAAAGATTGAAAACGATAAAAATACCAAAAAAAAAGCAACAAAAAAAGTGAGATCAAAAAAAAACGATCAAAAAAATAACTTAAAAAGATTACAAAAAAACAATAAAATATGCAACAAAAATAACAATAGAGAAAGAGACGGAAATATCGAAAAAATAACCGATATAAACGCAACAAAAATTGATGACATAAAAACGACCAAAAAGGTAAAAAAAATTGACAAAAATGACAGCACAAAAAGCCACAGAGAAAAGTCAAAAGAAAAGGGAACAAAAAAAACGACAAAAATTAGACAACAAATAAAAGGAGAAAAGGTGATAAAAAACCCTAAAAAATAAAAAAAGACCAAAAAATGTGACAAAAACGTGAAGACAAAAGAATGCGACCAAAAAAAGGCAGTCAAAACAATGGCAACGGCAATGAAAAATGACAAAAAAGCGCCAAAAAGGCAATAATAAAACGCCAAAAAAACAACAAAGAATACTATAAGAACAGGACAAAAAATATAAAGAAAAGTTGGTAAAAAAGAGGCCACAACGACAAAAAGAACAACTAAAAAAGCGAAAAACTGGATAAGACAAATTTAAAAAACGACAAAAAAACACCAAAGAAATGCAACAAAAAGAAAGTGAGACAAAAAAAACTGCGACAAAAAAAAGGACTAAAAGAAGAAAAAAGGTAACAAAACATGTAACAAAAAGACATAGAGAAATGTCGAAAAAATGCAACAAAAACCGACAAAATAAAGGCGAAAAAAACAACAACATAGCGACTAAATAAATCTACAAAAGGAGCAACAAAAAAGGTGGAACGCCACTTAAAAGGATATCCAAAAAAGCGAGAAAAAAGCCGAAGAAAGCAAAAAAAGCGATAAAAAGGGACAATAAATGTAAGCGATAAAAGTTACAAAAGAAACTGCGATAAAAAATGGCAAAAAGACTAAAAAGAAGGTCACGACAAAGCGGCAAATAAGACGACTAGAAAACCTCAAAAGACACAACGAAAAGTGCCACAAAAATGACGACAAAAAACTACAGAGAAAAGGCGAACAATGGGCGACAAAAATAACCGATAAAAGAGACGACAAAAAACGGGAATGAAAAAAAGGACTATAATACAATAGCGATGAATTAATGCCACAAAAGAACAGCAAGAAAAGTGGATAAAAGCAAAAAAAAGAGACAAAAAAAGAGCGAATAAGAAAACAGATAAAAAGTAAAACATGCCACAAATAAAAAAGCAAAAAAGCGTCAAATGACGACAAAAAAGGCAGCAAAGGCAGACAAAAATATAAATATACAGTGTGTTATTGAAAGGTACGTACAACAAAATTGACAGTTCTTCGTAAAGTCTAAGAAGTCTAAAAAACTTACTTTGTGTTATCAAAATTATAAGGGGAAAATTAACCCTTATCCAACCTTTTTAGACGCTACTGAAAGATAAATAGGTAAAATTAATTTATTTTAATAAACCCTAGCAACTGTAACAATAAAACTTTTATCAAGACTAAATGTTGCTATAGAAACGAGAAATAATCTTTTTATCAGAGGCGTACAACGAATTTGGACATACATTTTAATAATTTTTGTCTCTAAAAGGAAAACACTTTTACCTGAACTTTTTTTAACTTTTAGCACCCATACTTCGAGACCAGTTCCCGATTTTATTTTGTACGTACCTTTCAATAACACGCTGTATACTGAGAAATGACAAATGTAGAACCTATACGAATTTGTTGCATTGAAGACAGTATTGCTCAAGCAAAATTTTGGCCTAAATTAAATCAAAAATTGCTAAGGAACGGTTGATTATTCAATTGCATTAATTAATTATACAAACAAGCTTCAAGATTTGGGAAAATAATACTTCATCAAATCATTCCCTGGTCGACTTCAATTTCTTCTAAAAGTTCTTTTGAATAAAATTTTCCGCTTCTACAGTTTGAATTTTGAAAATCGAATTATTTCACAAATAAACAACATGGTATCCATTACAACATCAAAATAATAGCCATCTATATATAACTCAATACTTCGTTAGAAAAATGTTTTAGAAACTAAAACAGAATAAAATGTTGTATGTATCACGGGCATAATTGTCGATTGTGGCCCTCGGGAAATTAAAAGCTCACCTTTGTCGGGTTTTAAACACTCCCTCGTGCCATAATTTCCCTAATTATGCCCTTAATACATAAATAACTATTTTTAGTTTCTAAGATAAATTGTAACATGTTTCACAATTTAATTTTTTTTCAAAAATCTAAACATCGGAGCTAAAAAATAAACATGAAAGTCGCGTTTTACCATCTACATATACCAGATCGACCCAAATACAAAGAAAAAACGATCGGTGACAGCTCAACGCTTAAAGTTCTTGAAGGATGGTAATTTTTATAGGATAATTAAAGCTGTGGTATCTTCCGACAAATGCTCTTTTTATGGTTAGTAAAGTTCGCTTGGAGCCATTTTTTTTTTGGGTTCGTTCTTGAACTCAGTGGACATTTTAAGCAATTTTTAGAAAATACTTAATTTGTTTCGTTTATTTTCGCCTCCCCAATAAAATGGCTGCTCGCTCATCTTCCGTCCCCCGCTGCCTCTCGCCCCCTTGGCCTTCACCCACCCAATCCAAATTAATTTCGTCAGTGCAAACACGAAGATTTTAAAATAATTACACCTGTTGATTCTTGGTACAAGAGCAAAATTCCGCAAATCCACGTCGTCCGTCCCATTACCCGTCCGAGAACCTCGCCGCCCCCGTCCCGCTTTTTCCAAATTAGGCGAAAATCCGCGCACCCCGGGCCGACACAGGTGTTAAAACCGAACTGTTTTTGATGGTCGGGGTGGAAGCGGGTCGCCCTAACCCTAAATAAAGCGAAAAGCCGGGCGCATCGCGAGTGGGGCCAGATGGTGGGGGGCGGCTTCAGCGCCTCGCTCCGCAGTCCGCGTCCGATCGCCGCCGAGTGTGCACGTCGCTTGTCGCCCCGCGCCCCCCACAGAGATGAGTGCCACCTAACCTGCAGCCGCCTCAGCATGGACGAGGTGAACTTCGCCGCGCAGTGTCTCCTGGAGATGTCCCACAGCAAGGACCACCTCAGCCGCCCCCTGGACCTGTCGTTCAGCGCGTCGCCGGCCGTCATCGTGGAGACGCTGCCCGCCGCCAAGGAGACCCAGGAGTCGTCCTACATGGTGGCGCGCATCCTCACGGACCTCACCAGGATCAAGCAGGAGCCGGTGCCCGAGGTGCCGTCGGAGGAGGACGACGGCTACGCCGGCCTGACGGACAGTTCGGGCGCCAGTGCGAAGGCCGAGCCGAAGGCGGAGGCGCCGGCCCCGCGGAAGGCCGCCGCCCCCAAGGCGCAGACTAGGTTCGGGCCGCAGAACAGAAAGACTCACAAGTGCTCGTACGAGGGATGCCACAAGATCTACGGCAAGAGCTCGCATCTGAAGGCGCACTTGAGGACGCACACAGGTCAGTGGATGTCGGGGGCAGCGGAGGCAGCTCATGTTATTTTCTATATGCGTTGCGGCTTGTTTTGCGCTGAGTGTTTACAATGTATGCTGCTGCCTGGTGACCGGTCTGGGTCAAGTCTAGACTCTGACTCATGGTCTTTGGGTTTTTTTAGAGGGGGAACATATGGTTGGCTTGCTGGAGGCACCGACTTGGTTTCCGATTTCCGGCGGCTGGGTTGCTGGACCCTTTTGGGAACCACTTCCTCGTAATGTAGTCGGGAAAAATCCAAATGGGCGCTTTTAGAAACACATTTTGGGTTGTCTTGTATCGACATAAAGTATTGCGCCCGAGGGACCCGAACCCTGGACCTATTATAGGCATGTTCAGTCCGATGCATTTTGAAGCTCGTAAACATGATGGGTTATTAAACTTTTCATTAAAACTTGAATATTTACCCATATACTCGTAGTGGGGGGAACATTTGTATATTTCGAGGTCGTAATTTGAATTTCAAAATTTTGGCACCACGTGTTTCACCGATTCTTATCTATTCGTCGACGTATTTTGATTCTAACTGTGTTTCAAGTCTTTAATTTTGTCTTGGGACAATATGAGGTTTCATTGAAAAAATTACCAGGTAGTTATCTGTAATTTAAAGTTTTCCGTTGACTCCAAGTTGCTACTAAATATTTATGATACTTGTGAAGGTCTAAGAGATGATTGTTGACTTCCTGGTCTGACATACCAGGATCGAGAAGATGATAGAACGTCCAAAAAATTAATTATTCATCCCTTCCAAAAATCGGTGACATCATCAAAATATTTCTAGTACGATTTGCGACGTGACTGTATTCTCCGCTATTTTTAAAGTAGGGTTTTCCAACGGTGCTAATTTTTTATGGAACGCCTATATATTTTAAATATTCTGATTATCCCTTTTTGGGGTTCGAATCATAGTTTATTTGTGAAATGACGTAAGCTATAGCTGTAAAACCTAAGAAGAGATCGATTAGAACATTATACAGGTGGGTCACTAAACGCGTGTTCCTCGACTTCTCATAATTACATATTATAAATAGAAAAAAAGTCAAAAGATCAAAGTTGTACCGTTTTTTGAGGACTATACTCTAAAATTATTTTTAACCATACAGGTGTTTTGTTTGTAAGGTGTAACACAACTTAGTTTTCTTTTCAATGAAACATCCTATATATTTTTACAAATTTAAAAAGTTCACAAAAAATCACAGCAGGGTTATTTTTAAAATCTGTGTTATTTCACGCTTTGTTGTCGAATAAAGAGACCAAATTTCCATATACAGAGTGTTTATAAAAAATGTTCATAATATTACTGTTTTCGACTATCGATATTTCAGCTTTTTTAAGTAGGACAGCTATATTTTATTACTGCATCATATTCTATTTTTTGTTTCCTCTTTTAATAAAATACAGGGTGTTCCATGAGAAAAAACTGAAACATTGTCATTTGATAGTTGTTAACTCTTAGAATTTTTTATACATACTAATATTAAAATTGAAGAAAATTGAAACGTGGCGACGTCGCATCGGAATTTCAAAAGTAAACTGAAGGCCAAAGTCGATCAAACTATGTAAAAATGTATAGGGTTTTCATTAAAAAATCCAAGTTGTGTCGTACGCCTTAAAAGTAGAACACTCTGTATAGTTAAAAATAAGTTTACTGTTTGTTAGTCAAGTTAAGTTTTTTTTCCTTAATAATTAATGAGATATCAAGGACCGCGGACTTGATTGACTCATCCTGTATATAGATTTTTTAACAAAAAAAATCTATGTTGTATTTTCACTGTAATTTATCACAAAAAAAATATATCAGATTTTATGATTTATCTAAGAGACTGCATTTGTTTGATGGTGCTTTAGGGACGAGGGAGGTTCTGTATAAATAATGGATCCGTTTTTTAAAACATCGCTAATATTTTTTTGAGACGAATCAGCTATTTTTTTGTTTCGAAAAAATTAGGATAGTGGCTTGAAATAATGGCTGTTTTCGTATTCTAAAGTAGAGTCCAGGAATTAGTGAACATTGATTTTCGTTTCCAAAAGTGATTAGTAGAAGTTTTCAATTAACCGCTTAGGATTGCTTACAGCCCTGACATTGTTTGTTATTACTTGTTGAAAAGGAACAACGGTTCCATGAATCAGATGTGCATGACACATTTTAGTAGCCGGTAAATCATTGCCATTATAACCCTGAGGAGTATAGTAAGGGCTTCCAGTAAACATTTTTAGAAAGAGGAAAACAATGTTCCTGGTCTCTACTATGCAAGCTCTGAAACGTTAGTAAAACGTGAAATTAAACAGTTATGAAAAAAATTGGTCTAAAGAGTTTAGACAGTACTTCCCTCGCTGTCGGAAACTTGACGACTGCATGCCTATTATGTTTTTTTTTCTCATTACATTTTTGTAGTGGGAATTTAAAAAAAAATTGTGATGACGTCATCAACATTTTTGCAAGGACACGTATATCAGTTGGGATAGATGTAGTGTAATACTAAGAATAAAATTATTGTGTTCCCAAATTTTCGGGAAAATGAATTGGGTCGTTTTGAATATTGATTTCTTATAATCAATAAAATAACGAAACAATTTACTCACGTATACGGCGCCGGTGTGTAATATCTAGAGAGCGGATTTCTGTCGGGCTAGGCAAGGCCAAACTCGGTACGGCTCGCACGGGATGCGAATTCATTGCCGTTGCGGACTGCACTTCGTTTATTTGAGATTAGAATAACGTTGTTTCGTTGCACTCTGCTGTTAATTCCCGTTCTCATTTACTTAGCCGTTTGATTAATAAATCGTTAATTATATTTATGGAATCCAGCACGTCCCCCCCTATAATCGTGACGTAGCCCGACAGAAATCCGCTGTCTAGTAATATGAGGGGCAACTGAAAATCGTTTATGTATAAACATTCTTAATTTAAGATGACAAGCGTAACAGCATACGTAAGAGCCAAACAGAGAAACTGTAAACAAAACGACCATCGGTTTTATTGCTTCGACTTCCGCTTATTATATAAAACATTGCGTTTTATTTTAATTCTTGACGGTGAAATTCACAATTGGTTGATTATAAACATGTCTATTTCGCATTCGCGGAACCAAGTGACCGCATAAAACAAATGCAGGTCTGTAATGTTAAAGTCGATGTAAATAAGCGTGCTACTCTTATGTTTCAACCGAGTTTTTCCTTTAACAAATTTTGTGTCTACCAAATTGGGTTGGTTGGGGTGTAATACTAATAATAAGTGTTGCCTTTAATTTAATCAATAAAATAAATTGACTTCATTAATTTTTTTGAACCACCTCTTAAGAAAATCTAAAAAATATGAATGGAATGATAAATCACAAGTACAAACTCATCATATTTTTTGCATTTTAGATAGGATTTATTCAGCAAAATTTAAGGGTGACGTCATCAATTTTTTTAGGAGGGATGAACAAATACATTTTGAACAAAAGTTTACCATGCTTATAATAACTTTAAAATATTCCCAAGATTTCAAAGCATTCGGTTTTGTAATTCCTGATTAAATCGATAAAATAAATTCACGCCTTCATTAATTTTTTTGAGTCACCCTGCATATGCAAATCCAAAAATATGAATGGAATGATAAATCACAAGTACAGACTCATCATATTTTGTACATTTTAGATACGATTTATTCGGCAAACTTTTCAGCTGACGTCATCAGTTTTTTGTAGAAGATAACCAAATATATTTTGACTAAAAATTTATTATGCTCTTTATTATAACCTTACAACATCTGCAAGATTTCAAAGCATTCGGTTTTGTAGTTCCTGATTAAATCAATAAAATAAATTTACGCATTCATTAATTTTTTTGAGTCACCCTGTATATGCAAATCGAAAAAATTTGAATGGAATGATAAATCACAAGAAGAGACTCACCATATTTTGTACATTTTAGATAGGATTTATTCAGCAAAATTTTGTGGTGACATCATAAATTTTTTAGGGGGGACGACCAAATACGTTTTGATCAAAAATTTACCATGCTTATGATAATTTTAAAATATCTTCAAGATTTCGAAGCATTCGGTTTTGTAGTTCCTGAGTAAATCAGTAAAATAAATTTACGCTTTCATTTATTTTCTTGAATCACCCTGTATATGCAAATCCAAAAAATATGAATGGAGTGATAGATCACAAGTACAGACTGATCATATTTTGTACATTTTAGATATGATTTATTCGGCAAATTTTCGAGCTGACGTCATCAAGTTTTTGGAGGGGATAAGCAAATATATTTTGACTAAACATTTATTATGCTCTTTATGACCTTAAAACATCTGCAAGATTTCAGAGCATTCGGTTTTGTAGTTCCTGATTAAATCAATAAAATATATTTACGCATTCATTAATTTTTTTGAGTCACCCTGTATATGCAAATCCAAAAAATATGAATGGAGTGATAGATCACAAGTACAGACTCATCATATTTTGTACATTTTAGATATGATTTATTCCACAAACTTTTGAGCTGACGTTATCAAGTTTTTGGAGGGGATAAGCAAATATTTTTTGACTAAAGATTTATGATGCTCTTTATAGCCTTAAAACATCTGCAACATTTCAAAGCATTCTGGTTAGCAGATTAAAAATTAAATTTCAAAATATTGTTTTATAATTTTGATTTGTTTTCCAAAAATCTGGACGTTTCGGGTGAAAAGTCGATTCAGAGTTGTAAACTACATGTGTAGGACTATGTTATTTTATACAATTGAAAACCCATTTACTATGTACAATTTTGAAGTGACGCCATCGCATTAGTGGTGGGGATGATTAGACAAATTTTGGTTAGCGTTTTACCATCTACATGATATTCTTAATATAAGTACAAAATTTCACAACAATCGGTCGAGTACTTTCGGAGATTATCTGTCTAATAAAAATCCGGGACAACAGACGGACAGACGGACGGACAGACGGACAGACGGACAGACGGACGGACAGACGGAC